ATAGTGTTGTCACCACTGTTGAGTATTATAGAAGAGTAGGTGTTATACCTCAAAGTTCATGATGTCACTGCAAGATATATCGGCAGAAATGAAGCCGAAGACATCAGAAATGCAAAGCTCCGGCCGTTTCTGGCAGTCATTGTAACAAAGCTTTCTATTGGTCGGTAAACTTTCTATCGCGCAACCACGTGACATACACGGTTATGAATAGAATTACCGCACGGTGTTGTAGAGGGAGGAATATCCGAACGAAACAACACCGTGCAGGCGGACGATGTAGTTATAGATGAAATCATTTAATCAGTTTTTCAAAACAGGTGATCATGTTATAATATACTGCCCTCTGTCTACATTGTACATTAATCATCAAATATTAAAAATCCAATTGCTATATGTAAGACCCACTAAATCAAATCCACATGGACATTAAAGTACCAATATAACTTATTATTTAACTGGCAAATTCTTGAACTTAAAACCCAGTTAATAGTGAAAAATAGTGAAATTATATACATGTACTAGTGAAAATAAATTTAACATGATATACTGCCCTCTGTCAACATGGTACATTTAATAGAGCTGCTAAAAGTTCATTACATGCAAGTCTTGATTGAAAACAAATCACCAATATATTCTAATTTACTTTCACCTTCATCTCATGAAAATTGATCTTTTATTGTATTTGCAGGCAATTGACTGGTCCCATGGGAATTGAAGAACTTATTGGGTTTAATAACACTGGAAATGTATGTGAGTATATAAACCATGATAATAATGAAACCACCCATGGTTTTTATCCGAGGTATTGATAAGAACAGCAAACTCGTTATAAGGCAGTAAATTGATCATGTGAATTGACTTGTGTAATTATTGTTTGCAGGTGTGTGGCCATCAGAAGAAGTATTAACTTATCATTGTCTTAAACATAAAAACTCTTTCAGGTAGAAAGATTTCTTTCAACTATATTTTAAAATTCAGTTCTAGTACTTCCATCCCCACTTGGCTTATTATTCACAATAACAAAGAGTACACCAAACTTGGGTGCACAATGGGAAAATGCTCATTATCTTCACATTGTACTTTATTTTTGATAAAGTATAACATTAATTAAAGATTAATGAAATCTATAGATTAATAAGTATGTGTATATATTTAATAATATGACATCTGTAGATATGACTTATATGTTTTTTGTCATAGGAATAAAACTGTGTGCGAATTAGGTGGTGGTATGACATGTCTTGCTGGCATTTCGGTAAGTCACCGCAAATTCCCCTTCTTTATTATCTCTGCTGGTGCTGTGCATATAGTGACTGTCTGTCATCATTCTTCACGAATTTTTCATTTTTGACCGACTAGCAATTATTTATTTTATAAAATCATCATTTCAACATATTGACCATAAAATCATCATTTCAACTTATCATTGACCATAAAATCGTCGTTTCAACATATCATTGACCATGAAATCATCATTTCAACTTATATCATTGACCATAAAATCATCATTTCAACATATCATTGACCATGAAATCATCATTTCAACTTATATCATTGACCATAAAATCATCATTTCAACATATCATTGACCATAAAATCATCATTTCAACATATCATTGACCATAAAATCATCATTTCAACATATCATTGACCATAAAATCGTCGTTTCAACATATCATTGACCATGAAATCATCATTTCAACTTATTTCATTGACCATAAAATCATCATTTCAACTTGTATCATTGACCATAAAAACATTTCAACATATCATTGACCATAAAATCATCATTTCAACATATCATTGACCATAAAATCATCATTTCAACATATCATTGACCATAAAATCATCATTTCAACATATCATTGACCATAAAATCGTCATTTCAACATATCATTGACCATAAAATCATCATTTTAACATATCATTGACCATAAAATCATCATTTCAACATATCATTGACCATAAAAACATTTCAACATATCATTGACCATAAAATCGTCATTTCAACATATCATTGACCATAAAATCATCATTTTAACATATCATTGACCATAAAATCATCATTTCAACTTATATTATTGACCATAAAATCATTTCAACATATCATTGACCATAAAGCATCATTTCAACATATCATTGACCATAAAATCATCATTTCAACATATCATTGACCATAAAATCATCATTTCAACTTATATTATTGACCATAAAATCATCATTTCAACATAACATTGACCATAAAAACATCATTTCAACATATCATTGACCATAAAATCGTCATTTCAACATATCATTGACCATAAAATCATCATTTTAACTTATCATTGACCATAAAAACATCATTTCAACATATCATTGACCATAAAATTATCATTTATCATTGACCATTTCTGATATATTAATTTGCAAATTCTGTTTTATTGTTTTCAAGGTTCTAATTACATCTAACCAACTGTTTGATTTTTCTATTGTACTCAACACATTTCACACAATGACATTCTACCTCCTTCTGTCCATTTACTACCATTATACAATATACCAATCATTATTCTATGTTCGTTGACAGATTGCTGCTTTTTGTGAAGCCAAAGAAGTGCTGCTAACAGATGGAAATGAAATATCTGTCAAAAGTATCCTTGTACCATGCATAACCTATATCTTGTGAAACCTGGTTGTTTCACATAGTACTACAATCTACATATTGATATCTCTAAGAAACAAATCATGAGTCAAATACACTTTTCTAATAATGATCACAGACTGGACCAGACCAGTCATACTAGCTACTGGCTGAATCGGACCAGTCTATCTTGTCACAGGCTGAATCAGACCAGTCATACTAGCTACTGGCTGAATCGGACCAGTCTATCTTGTCACAGGCTGAATCAGATCAGTCATACTAGCTACTGGCTGAATCAGACCAGTTTAACTGGTCACAGGCTGGATCAGGCAAATCGTACTGGCTATCGGCTGAATCAGATCATTCTAACTGGTCACAGGCTGGATCAGACCATTTATACTGGCTACTGGCTGAAACGGACCAGTCTAACTTGTCACTGCCTGGATTAGACCAGTCTAACTGGTCACTATCTGTATCAGACCAGTCTAACTGGTCACAGGCTAGAGCAGACTGCTCTAACTAGTCACTGGCTGAATCAGACCATTCTAACTGGTCACAGGCTGGATCAGACCATTCTAACTCGTCACAGGCTGGATCAGACCAGTCATACTGGCTACTGGCTGAATCAGACCAGTCGACTGGCCACTGGCTGGATCAGACAAGTCAACTGCCCACTGGCTGGATCGAACCAGGCATGACAAATTTCATAATTGTAATTATTTGTAGTGTAATTGTGTAGATTATTCTGGACATCTTCCTTTAATTCTGCTCAATTAGATGTACACCCAATTATTAAAAGAAACCACAGTACTTTTGGATCAACTAAAGTAACAACAAGGTAACGTTTCTATTTAGTCTTACAGATTCATTATGTCTTCATATTGTGCATCAAACTGTTATTTATGTAGAAACGCCAGTATCATTATAGCCATGATAGTTCACTAATAGTGATAGAATTCCCTGGTGGTTATGTCTATATTATTAACACATTAAGGTTTTCTAGTGATAGAGACCACACTGGTTATCATACATTTTATTAACACAGCAATATGTTTCATTATATTTTTTATCAGAGTTATAAAATGGGACAAAGATAATAAATATGGTGACATTGCGGGCTATTTTGATCATATAATATGTGCTGATTGGTAAGTTAATTTAGTTGGGCTTTCTTTTTATGTTTGGGAATATATGGTCCACTGAATATGCGATAGGACTTTCAAAAACTATTGCTTAGCTTTAGAGCTTTAGATCATTGAGTCGCAAAATTTCAATGAAACTTGGTACCAAGTCCTTAGACTTGATTAGTTTTTAGATATAATAATATCTAGATTAGTTTTTAGATATAATAATAATGTATAATAATAGTTATCATGTATGATTATTCTGAAGCACCCTTTGATGAAATTAAATACACTTTGTACATAGTGGTTTTTAAGCAAGATTTATTAATACTTTGTGTGGATATGTATGCACAATAATTGACATGTCCTTTACAATCCTGTTTGTTGCAGTTATATCTTAAGAAGCTTTGTTTTTCGACCCCAATTTGGACAAAGTCCGAAATCAGGGACTATTAATTTGGGTTCCATCTTTTCATCTATCCAGAGCCATTTTTACCAGTCACATTTAAACATACTATAATGGTGCCTTACATATGAATGTTTCCTATTTGATCAAATATGGCTGACTGGTGACCATTTTGGTCCTCAAATTTGATAAATTCTGGTTACTTAAATGTGTTGAAACAATTTCTCAGAGATGAACAGAGAAATTCATTCAACTATGCATGTGCACCTCATATGTTTGAACCAAAAGTTCTTGTCCATCAAAATCAAGCATTTCTGCCAATTCCAAACCCGAGTCTCAGTTGTGCATAAACAGATTTTGTACAAACTTGAAACATTCATTGTACATAATTCTATTCTGATGTACATCATTTTGTTTTTCTGTTCAAATTAAAAGTGGTTGAGTGACATACATTTTATATTAACTCAAAGTCCTATCCCTGACATGCCTTGATTGATTGCAGTAAAACTAAATACGATTTTAATTATGGTATTAAACACACATACACATTAATTTGTTTTAAAGTTCTGATTCAAAATGGCTGAAACGTATTAGAATTATGCATATAAATAAGGTTACTTTGACCATATGAAATTGCTATTTTTTTCAGTTTATTTTTTGAACAGTTTCAAGAAGATTTACTTCATGTGATTTATACATTATTAAAACCAGAGGTAAGTTAAATATCCTAAAATCTTTTTATCAATCACATATAGAAATTTGAATTCTACACTGGAATATGTGCCAATATGTGCTACAATTGATACGATATGACTAGTTGGTAAACTACTGTAAAAGCATGTGACTAATTTTATAGCTGTAATAGCTGTATGACTAGCTGGTAAACTAATAGTTAGTCCTAGATCAGGCACAGTTCAAAAACAAAGACTTTTAGATTGCCCTGTTTGTATGCATCCATCTATCCATCCAGTCTCTGTGCTTGTGTGTATGTGTGTGTGTGTGTGTGTGTCCATCACAGACATGCTTTGACCAATGTGCAAATGTCATACATACATCATGTCACTTGTATGCACATGTATTCGTTTGACAATCCAGTTCAAGGTACTGAATAGGTGCAATTTTACTATTAAAAATTCATTAAAATCATTTCTGCCAATGTTGAAACTGGATCGCAATTTAGCATTGTGTAACTGACTAAACATTGATCTTTAGTTTCTGTTTGTGATTCACTGCATGCATATAAATGCTGTAATAACTGACTTAATATCAGTGTATGTTTTCATATATTTTTGTTTCACTACTTTTTATGCATTACTTGTGAAACCAGGGATTGGTAACAGTATTTGCTCCATGTAGAGGCAACACATTGGAGCAGTTTTGTGAAATGGCTATCGATGGCTTTGTTGTGGAAAGAACTGATAATTATGACCAAACCGTGTGGGAGAAACATTTGCAGGTAAAAACATAACCATAACATATTAGTCTAAGAACATTTTCACTGAAAATATATAACAAAAATAATTTACTGTATTAAGATAAATCACAGTTGCGAGTCAAAGTGTATTTTGGATTTAAACTATCACATGAACTTCACCAAATCTACATTATAGACAACAGTTCATATCAGAGAATTAAAGTTGAGAGTATGGTAAACCAAATTATAATCAAAATGACAATTATTTATTCAATTTAAAATCAGGCAAATTGCACACTAAAAGTTAACTAGACTGTAGACAGCACTTGGAGGACTTGCCCGACCTGTGGTATATATTATTTTAATATTCATATCAAAACTATATTCACCTCTGCCTTCACATTAAAATGCAAGTATTAGGATCACAAGGGACATGTGTGGCAAGTTTGAAGGCAATTGCTATTTTTTCTCTTGCAATTGTATTGTAAACATATACACACACACATACATACTGTAAACTTTAACCTTTTAACGACAAAAATCTAAAATGATCTTGTCTGTCATTTGCGTGTCAGATTTAAGTTGGTTTCTATTGGATCTTTATTGTGAACAGACATACACATTATATATTTTGACCCCTGATCAAAAGGGCTCTGATACATAATGCATACTAGTTGTAGTACTAGTATATCTGCGGTTGGTATTTTGGACATTTGACTATTTTCATCATCAGAGGCTGTATAATGCAATCACCTTTCTCTCTACATTTGTCCTTACCTGGTTATACCATAATTTTCCCTGTATTGCTACTTCCACCATGGCACAGTTGGAGGCGTGACCTGTTCAGAATTTGTCAACAACCAATCATAAGGCTGGTTACGAACTACATCGAGGTTACGACTCGGTTAGCCTTGTTCAACTGGTTCGTAACCAGTCTTGTGATTGGTTTTCGTCTCCAACTCTGCCGTGCGTTCGGGCCAACCATTCATAAATGGAGTCAATTTGTGTAGTTTTCTTGATTTATTCTGCAGATATAGATAAAATATAGGTAAAGCTTTGGCGAAATTTGAAAGAGCAACTAATATTCTTCAACCTGGTATTTTTTATAGATTTTATTTTTCATTCTGTTCGTCTGTTTTTTCCCAGTTTAAAAAATATGTACAGTTGATTATAGTTCCTGTCCTGTGCTATTTTCACTGAAGGAATGATTTAGCGAAAATAAAATCCAGCGAATATACTTTTTTTTCTTATATTTTACATTCAACTCATCAAAAATCAGTGAAAATAAATTCCATACAAAACACCCAAAAAGTATTTCACAGTAATATGTCGGTGATTTTTAATTTCTAATTACAGGCTAAAGAAAAGGAACATGATATATACATTGAAGATAGACACTATCCAGTGATGATTATACTTCGTAAATTGAAAGTAACACCACATAGATTACATGTACAAGCTGCTAATCAGGGATGAATTGTGACCAAAATATAACATTGTATTAATAAGCAAGCATTGTATATTGCCTTTGAATTCATTTACAACATATTTTTACTTGTAAGATATTGATGCAGTCTGTACAGCCGGGTATTAAGTAATATTGTTTACATTCACTATATTGGCTTCAATATGGACATATATAGGGTATGCAATTCTCAAGATAGTTTACACTAAACGAACAGTTGTACAATATTTTTAAACTTCAAATATTATATAGTATGTATAAATGTGTTGTTTGAGACATTTTTGGTATTTAGAAGGTAATGAGAGTAGGCTGAATTTTATTTTCTGGAGTGTACTTGGAAAGTTACTGTCTTTCCACGTGTATGTTTATAACACTAGCCATTATTTTATTCAGAGTAGGTGTTCATTTTGACCGACAACTGCCTAGTTTCTACATCACTGGTACTATCCAATTGAATACCTGTCACTGCTGCCATGTGTGCACAGATAAGTGTTACCTGCATGTGTTCTTTTATTGTCTGTGTTTAATACTAAATTTAACAAACAATGTGGACCACTCATGGAATTAAACAGCCTTTACGGACAAAGCAATTACATGATAATAATTCCCTGTTGTAGATAATTTTATATTGTATTAAAATTAGACTGTTAAAATGCTGCAGGTAAGCTAAAACTCATGTTACAGTTTGATAGAATTATGCAAAATTCTAGGACCAATATTTTTTAGTCTCTTTCTGACCATATGGAGGTAATAGTAATAATACCTCCATGGTCTGACATAGTTCAAAATTATGTTTCGACTTCTGTTTGTCCATCAGTCATGTTCATTTGTTTTTCGTTTTGTTGACCTTTGATTAAAAATTTGACGTGCCATCACATGCCTTGGCCAATTTCATTCAAACTTATTATTGACATCGTTTGTGTCGCAATTTGGTTCAAAATGGTGACCATGTTTTGTTTTTTTACAAATCTTCTACCCATTTCTCAGATGCATTTTCACAGATTTTGTTTATAATTGGGTCAAAGGAATGACATAATAGGTTACATGATCTTCTCAGGTATCTTGGGATTTTGATACAATTTAACTGACTGGTCCAAAAAATATTCAAACTTAGTATGAACATCAGACATGATGCAGTTGCACGTTGGGTTTGGTTTGTTTTGTGGTTTGGTTCAAAATGGCTTTTTGATGGCCATGTTGGTTTCATTTTTATATATCTATTTCTCGTGCGTGATTTGACAAATAAAGTTCATAATAGTCAAAACAAGACATAATAGTATACACATGCATGTTGATTTTGTTGATTTTCATGAACTTTTTTTTGGCGGCCTTTTTAGTACCAAAAAAACAAAATTTTTCAGGCATTTTGTTTTAACTTGGTAT